ATCATTATGCCATCCACTGGTCCCAGTGAATCCTTTTTTAAGGAGGGAATGATGTGGCCTAAAAGGATGTCCATATGCCCAAGCACCCAGAGTTGGCTGAAAAGAATGTGCCAACTTTCACGTCATGAAGGCCATGCAGTCTCTTAAGTCTCGAGGCTATGTGAAGGAGCAATTTGCCTGGAGACATTTCTACTGGTACCTTACCAATGAGAGTATCCAGTATCTGCATGATTACCGCCACCTGCCACTTCCTCGTCCTCCCTCCACATTGTGCCTGCCACCCTGTGCTGAAGCTGTCCTGAGACTGGCCAGCCTTGACCCACGATCTGGAGGGCGAGTGACCTATAAGACTCACAAGAGGAGAAGCTGACAGAGACACCTACAAACAGGTGCTGTGTGCCCCACCCACCCCCTGGTTCAGACAAGGAAGCCAAGGTTGGGACTGAGTCAGCCACTGAATTCCGTCTAGAAGCAGATATGGTTGTGGGTGTGGCCAACCACCTCAGCAAAGTTGGAGGAGGTAATCTTGTGTTGAATAAACTTGTAGCCAGAAAAAGAAGTAGGGGAGCTGGGATAATGCACCCATAGCTAGTATGAGACTGACAGGCAAATTCTCAGACACCCCAGGACTCAGAGGAGGAGACATTACAGTTGCTTGCAAGTGTCCAGGCAAGCTGCTTGGCAGAGGTAGGGTTCAAGACAGATCCTGGGCACCAAGGGAGTTTTGAATAAATTGTGATGGTGGAGGCAGGGACTTCAGCTAGGGAAAAGGACTGTACAATGGCAAGGGGCCAGATCTCCTGCATGTCAGTCATCAGCTAGCGCCTGGGCCCTAGACTGGTGTTCCTCATCTCAACACCACCGACACCCTGGGCCAGGCAGTTCTTTATAGTGGGGGGCTGTCCTGTGCATTGCAGGATATGGCGGCATGCCTGGCCCATTCCTAATAATGCCTGTGATCAAGACCCCCAATCCTAGCTGACAACCAAAACTGTCTACAGACTTTGCCAGATGTCCCCTGGGTTGGGGTCAAAATAGCTTCAGTGGAGAACAATTGCCCTAGATAAATGGAAGCCCCAGCACCACTCATATTCTCATAGGAGCCCCACTTCTTGTTCTTTTCCTCATTGTTGGATGACCTTGTGGGTGAGCAGGAGACAGCCACACTCCTGATGTTCCACAGGAGAAGTCGGGGTAAACTCCTCCCTAGTCTGCAGTGCCTGTGGCTGAGGGCTCTTGGATACGGATTTCCCAGTGTATGAATGTGTGTGACTCAACCACTGGCCAGGCTTCCTGATTCAGAAGCACAATCCCAAGTGAGAAAGTTTATTATTATTGCCAGAGGACCCCATGAGAATGATGCCATTTCACAGGGCTGGGTTGCAGAGGAGAGAAGGGCCTTACCTAACTTGCTGGGTGACGTGGACAATAGTCACTTCCCCTTTCTGGGTTACGGTTTTCTCGTCAGTAAACTGAAGGGCTTGCAGTCCATTCAAGATTCCTTCCAAGTGAGAACTTCTCTTTGATCCCTATATAGAACAGTGGAGGGATCGTTTCCAGCTGGGAAAGAGTGAAGGGCCTTACCTAACTTGCTGGGTGACGTGGACAATAGTCACTTCCCCTTTCTGGGTTACGGTTTTCTCGTCAGTAAACTGAAGGGCTTGCAGTCCATTCAAGATTCCTTCCAAGTGAGAACTTCTCTTTGATCCCTATATAGAACAGTGGAGGGATCGTTTCCAGCTGAGAAAGAGTTCTGTGATTGACTAGTAATGTCTGCCAGGAGTGCAGAGTTGGGGGTGGGTGGTACCAACATGGGTAGTGTGTGTTTGCTGATTGTTCTAGAGGATTTGACTAGAGTCTCTGAGATCTGTGCTGAGGACCAGGACCTGAGGACAGAAGAAGCAGGGCTCCAGAGGGCTAAGTTCCTCTAGAAGTTTTTATTTTATTTTATTATTTTTTTTAAGAGCTGCTATGTGAGAGGACATGGAGAAAATGGCCCCTAAAGATCATAAAGGCCTGCTTCTGTCTCAGAAGAGCACTTCATCATTTTTTCACCTAACAAAGAGCATTGAAGTCCAGGTGAGAAGAGAAGTCCAGAATACCCACTTCCTTCATTCTCTCCCACACGCATTCTGGAACTAAGGATTCACAATGATCCCAGAGTAGGAAGGGAACAGAAGGGGGAAGTGAAACAGTAAAGCTTGGCATGGTGGAAAGTACAAAGGCTTTGGAGTTCCAATGCCTGGCCTCTGCCACTTATTAGCTGTGTGATCTTAGGAAAGTTACTCAACCTTTCTGAACCTTGGTTTTATTATCTGTGAAATGATGGCCAACTATAGGAGAAGTCAGGCTGGAATGTTCATTCCATGGTTCAAAAGCTTTGTCAACCCAGTCCTGAGCCTAGCACTGATCCCCTGCCCAAGACCCCACGTGAATGAACTAGAGCACTCCTCATGGATTATTACCTGCACACACATCCCCACCGGCCATCTTGCTAGAATGAAGGCTGGACCTAGGTGATGCAGAATCAAGTCATGAATCTCACCTGATTCTTAGCTGACTCAGAATGGACTGAGGAGGAAGGACACAAGTAGACCAGTAGGAGGGACGAGGGAGGAGGATGTGGGAAAGAGCTGCAGTCAATCTACATAAGCAAGAATTGGCAGAAGACAGAGGGAGAGGCAGAAAGCCAAGGAGGCAAGAGGGAGAGCGGGTTTATTGGCTTTGTCCTCTTCACCGCTCCAGAGACTGTAGGTCAAGAGGGAATAAAATGGAATGAAGGGAGAGCTGCCCAGACTGTGAATTGGATTCCTGCAAGGCCTTTCAAAGGACATTCAATTACTTTTATCCTCTTTGGACTGCACTTGGAAAAACACTGCTGTTCTATTGGTCTGGGTGTCTTGGGACATGCTTCAGTAGGGTTCTAGAAGTTTACAGCTGTTTCCCCCCAAGAGAAGACATGCTACAGAGAGACGACTTGGGTCTTCCTATATTCTAGCTCATTGAAGACCACACGATCCTGATTTTCCAGCAAGTTCCTCAGCAGATATTGACAGGGTCCTGCTTTTATCTAGTCTCTACTCACCACTCCCAGGTAGGCTCTTCTGTGAGCACCTGTGACTCTGCCTGAAGGCTTTCTCTTGTTTCTGGGCTGTGTTAGGTGAACACACAGGGCTAGCCAAAGAGCCGGGGTACAGTCCCAGGAGCAGCCCTTGACCTATGATAAATGAGGGTTGGCCAGGACATGCCACAGCTGTCTCACTCCTTGGGTAGGAAAGCTCAGAGACGCTTCCCATCACACAGAGACCCCTGCAGGATCGAATCCCAGGTCCCAGCAGATGTCTGTGTACCCAGATGTCCACTGTGGACCTTGCTGATTACCTCACTCAGAATGGCCCCCTTCCTCTTGCCTCACTCCTAACTCCCTCTCAGTGCATCTTGGAAGGCTCTCCCAATGACCTACTGCACTCGCACCCGAACCCTAGCCTCAGAGCCTGTTTCCAGCAGAACCTAACCAGAGACTGGCAGGATTCTAGACATCCCATCCCATTGTCAGGCCATGAACTGATTCTGAAAGAACGTGTGGTCACTCCCTTCAGGAGGGATCTTCAAAGAAGGGGTCCTCAAAAAGAAGTATTCGTGGGAAACACAACTTATTTTTAAAATTAGGGCCAGACCACGGTGCAGCGTTAAAACATGATGCTCTGTGAGGCAATGACGCATAGGGAGCTTCCCAGTTCAAGTCCAGAGACTTCCCTGAGTACACTGGGCAGACGTCTCGTGCTGGCTGAGGCAGGGTGGATCAGAGTTAGAACTCTGGGGGCCAGCAGATGATGTAAGGGCTACGTCACTGGACTTCTACATAGTCTACTGCGGTTCAACTCCCGGACCTGGTGACTTGAAACTCACACAGGGCGTGTGTGTGTGTGTGTGTGTGTGTGTGTGTGTGCCCAAAATCTCAAGAGGCAAATGGAAAAGAAGGGAGTTAATTTCTCACTTTCTCTTTATCTCTCCGGCAAGCACATGCACCCCTATAGCAAAAATCTCTCTCAAAAAAAAAAAAAAAAGAACTCTGGTGAGATTACTCGCTCTCTTTCTCTTTCCTTCTCTCTCTGTCTCTCTTACTCATGGAAGAAATAAGTGAATAACTTTAAAAAAATGAAACTATGCATGGATTTCCAAAACCTTTGCACCAAAGTAAAGGTACTTTAATTGCATCTTCCCACAAACTTTCTAAAGTCCCCTCTACCTCAGACATGTGTACTGCCCCTCTCCCAGCAGCACCAGGAGGGACGAGCCCACAGGTCATGGCCTGAACACACGGCTCAGATTCTTGGCACCTGGTATTCACAGCTGGTTCTTCCAGAGGATCAGCATTAGCCTGAAAACTGGAACCTCTTTATGGACTCTGCAAACACAACAATGACAGACAGAAGACAGGAGAGAAGTCTGCTTTCCAGGGTAGGGGTAAGTATGAGAGATGCCTGGGCCGTTACCAAGGGAAAGGAGGAGCCTGGTGAACAGTTCTCCCTGGCCAGTACCCAGCTTCCCTCCAAACCGGGCACCTGCCAGGACAGCACCTTCTGGACACAGAGAAATTCTTATCTTGGAACCAATCAGTGTATGAAGTAGGGAGGCCACGAGAACACCAGAGTGGGGCAGTCCTCCTTAGCCACCCATCAGCTCAGCTGTTGGTGCTGGGGAGGCTCCCAGCTTTGTAACAAAGGCCCCCATGGGGCTCTGGGCTGGTGAGTTGTGCAAGCAAGCGCGGGAAAGCTGGCTCACCCGGGCCTCCCCCTGCGGCTGGGAGGAGAGGAAACATCCCATGGCTGACTGCCAGGGCTGAGATTGGGCCAGCCCTCCTGGCCTGCAGGCAGGGCGGGTGTCTCTCCACCATAAGCCAATCCCTGGGCTGCCAAAGAGGATCTCTGAGAAGTGAGTTCAGGACCCAGGACTGCGGTAATCACTTCTCTTGGCAGCCGTGAGGGGCAGCAGGTGGAAGTGCCAGCCTCCGGGGTGTGCCAAGAGCCCCACTCCTCAGTGGTGGGATCCATTTGCCCCTCACTTCTGGAGTTCCAGGGTCAGCCTCCTGCTTCACGACTCAGGACAGGGCAGCATGAGCAGGTCAAGGCACGTGGGCAAGATCCGGAAACGTCTGGAAGATGTCAAGAACCAGTGGGTCCGGCCGGCCAGGGCTGACTTCAGTGACAACGAGAGTGCCCGGCTGGCCACCGATGCCCTACTGGATGGGGGTCCTGAGGCCTACTGGCAGGCACTGAGCCAGGAAGGGGAGGTGGACTTCTTGTCCTCGGTGGAGACCCAGTACATCCAGGCCCAGGCCAAGGAGCCCCCCTGTGCCTCAGACCCTGCAGGAGGGGCCGAGGCAGGCCCTAAGGACCTCGACTCCTGCTCCCTGCAGTCAGGCACCTACTTCCCGGTGGCCTCCGAGGGCAGCGAGTCAGCCCTGCTGCACTCCTGGGCCTCAGCCGAGAAGCCCTACCTGAAGGAGAAGTCAAGCGCCACCGTGTACTTCCAGACGGACAAGCACAGCAACATCAGGGACCTCGTCCGCCGCTGCATCGCCCGGACCAGCCAGGTAGTCATGGCAGACTGTCTCCTCGGCTGCGGTGGGGAGGGTGGGAGCCGGTAGAGCAGGGACGGGGGTGTCTCCTCTCAGAGACTGAGCCTGGGGTCTGGACTTTAGGATGGAGTCGGGGCCCTGCTCTCTGTCTCACTCTGGATCTTTGGTCTCCTGATACCACCTGAGTCCAGGCCACCACGATCGTCACCAGGATTCCTGCAATAGCTTCCTGCCTGGCCCCCTCCTTCCATCCTGACCCCACCACCCAGGCTCCGTGCTGCAGCAGAGCCCTTTTTCTGTACTGCCAGTCTATACTAACCTAGTCTCTTCCTTGCTTAGAGCCTTCGATGGCTCCCGGTTGCTCATAGAGAGAAGAGCAGCTCCTTAGCTTGGTCACAGCCCCTCTGGTCCCTCCCACTCGACACTGAGAGCCTTGCAGGTGTTAGGACCACCATGCTCCATTTCAGGCTTTTGCATGTGCTGTTCCCTCTGCCTGGAACTTCTCACCTCCCTGGCTAATGCTTCCTCCTTCCTCAGGCCCCAGCACGCACGTCTCTCCTTCAGGAAGCCTTCCCTCTGTGCCCTGGGCCAGGTTCCACATTCACCTGTGTGCACCCACATGAAGGCGGCCACAGCTTGCCCCGTCCCCTCAGACTCTGCTTACACCTGCCTGCCCAGAAGTGACCTATGTGCCTGCATCCAGCCAGTGCTCAGGAGGAGGGTGGGGTAGGCAGCGAAGGTTTCTCCCTTCCTAAGGTAGTCACATTTAAAATTTTTAAAAATTGCCAGAGGGCACTTGCTAGAGAGAGACGGAGAGAGAGAGAAAGGGGGAAAGCACCTCCCACGGGGGATGGTCCGCTGCAACCCTTCTCCTCTGTTTCTCCCTCCTCCGGGATTTTGAGTGCACGAGCACGCACAGACCCAGCCTGTTTTCAAGCTGTCATATCAGAACTTGAACCACACAGTCAGCCATGTGGGGAGCCAGCCGCCTTAACAGCCATGCCACCACCTGGCCCTATCTGTTTATTTGCCAGAGAGCATGTGTGCTCCCCCGAGAGAGACAGAAACAGAGAGAGAGAAAAGGAAAGGAGGAAAGCAATCCCCACAGGGCATGACCATGCCACAGTCCCTTCTTCCATTTCTCCCTCCCGTTGGAATTTTGAACATGCTCACCCAAGGGCATGTTTTTCAAGCCACTGGGGCTGGGACTTGAACCGCAGGGTGGCCATGTGGGATCCAGCTCCTTTACCTATGAGGCTGGGCTGATCCAATATTTACATTTGAATAAGGCATTTAGAGGGGGAAAGGTCTTTCAAGACCAGAGACTGGCTGGTAGCATTCCAGGCACCATGATGGGCATTGAATGAGACATGAGTTCTCTGGCTTCAAGTGGCTCTGTGCTGTCGCCAGGGAACTGGGTGGGGGACTCAAGCTCTGGTCTCATCCGCCCCAGTCTATAGATGTCACTGGCCTCCCAAAGCTACAGAGCGTCTGGGCCTAGAATAAGCACCAAGGAAAGGAACTATCACCGGCAAAATCTCTTTTTTTTTAAAGAATTATCTTATTTAACTTTATTTATTATTACTATTATTTTCCAATTTGATCAGAGAGAGAGAGACAAAAAGAGAGTGAAAGTGAGAAAGCAAGCCACCAGGTCTAGGATGTGAACTGCGGTCAGCCATGTGAGAATCCAGCGCCTTTAACCACCATGCCACCTGCCAGCCCCCAGAGTTCTTTCTTTTTGTCACTACGATAATTTACTTTGCTACAGTTAAACATACAGAAACATGCTGATGTTCAAGGTTGTTTTTCTGCTGGGGTCCTTGTCTTCTTAGATCAAAACCATGTGAAATCTTAAGGTTCTGGGAAAAGCCACCGATGGTGGGGAGGCTGCGGCAGGAGCCGAGGCCTGGAAAGCTAAGTGCGGGGTAATGACGGGCCGGCGGAGTGTTGGCTTTGAGCGTGGCTGGGCTACTTCTGAACAGGATTCTGTGCTTCCGTGACAGGCGGCATTAGCAGTTGATAGGCCTGGTACACAGCCGGGAACACTTGCTCACTCTGCCTGGAGTCGCGGTGGGAGCTTGATGTCCCCTGGTCTCAGCTCCCATGGTGGACCAAGGTCCCTCCAGCTCCAGAGCCCTGTTCTGTCCCGTGTGTGCTCTCCGGTCTCTGTATCAAGCTCACGTTGTTCGAGGGGTGGAGACCGAAGGTGTCTGGGACGTTCTCAGCCTCAGCTCCCAAGGTGGGTGAGTCGCCCTGGAAAGAAGCCAGGTGAGGGCTTGTGCAACACAATCCCTGGCCAAGCCTCTCTCCTGCCCTCGCTTCCCACCCAGCAAGGCTTCTCTCTCCACTTCGGCAGCCCTAAGGCTCACTGACAACCTTTTGACTGACATAGCGTGTTATGAATTTACACATACACATCTGAAGATTTCACCTCAAAGTACAAGTTTCCAGCCCTTCCCAGCAGATAGGAAGGCCTTGTTTTGCTGGGGCTGAGTCGTAGCCACCTCTACGGACAGGTCCCCTTTGCCACAGTCCCCACTACTCCCTGTTGTCCTGGGCCCCTGAGGGCTTCACCCGTTTTGTTGCCTGTTTGCCAGGCTCCTCCAGGTGGAGTTTGTGATGTCCTTCCCACACACAAATACTCACGTGCATGCACACACACGTGCACACGCACACACACATACACACATGCACGTGTGGTCACACTAGGGCTCAGAGATGGCTCCCACGGATATGGCAGGGAAGCTTGATCCCCAGCCAAAGACTGTCCGTGGAAATTGCTGGAGAGAAGAGGGAGGGGCCCCTCCAAGAAGGACGGGGTGAACAAACAGGGGCCGACCCACTAGGTGCTTTCTGGAGCAGTTTCCACTCCCAAAGAAGCAGGAATCCTCCTCCCTTCTCACGCTTGAATTCCTTCAGTTCCACAAAAACGTAATATGTAGGCCAGGCCCTGCACCCAGGATGGCAGAGCATCAAGAGGCTCCCTGACTCTAGGGGCTCCTTGCCAACTGCCTGCCCCTGAGGGAACGGAGAGGAGAACACTAGTGGGTGGCAGCCCCAGTCTTGGGCAACCCTCTGTGCCTGTGAGCAGAGTAGTGAGACTAAGGCAGGCTTCATGGAAGAGGAGATTCTGAGTTGGTTCTCAAAGGCTGAATAGGAGTTTTCCAGGCAGAGAAGGAAGGGAAAGGGATTCTAGGCTGAGTGAGCGTCAAACACAAAAGCCCAGAGGTGTGAGAAGGCTCCTGTGTTGTGGAGGTGGGGAGACACTGTCATCCATAGGGTGGGACCAGAGCTTGGGGCTGTGGGACCTCACAGAGTATGAAGGTGGGGACAAGGGTCAGCGACTGAGCGGCCGGAGCAACTGTCCTAGTCTTGTAAGTTGGGGCCAAAGAATAGGTCCCAAGTGTGGTCTGAGTCCCTGCAAGTCCAGGAGTGCCTTGCAGCAGGTCCATCAGGCCCTGACCTGGCCCCTCCCTTCAAGACAGGGTCTCCCAGCTGGCAGGTGACACGGTGGTTAAGGCGCTAGTTCTCACATGGCCAGCCATGGTTCAAGTTCCAGATCTGGTGGCTTGTTTTCTCACTTTCTCTCTCGCTCTCTGGTCAAACTAAAGAAAAATAATAAATAAATAAGACTATATAAAATAATTATCTAAAAATCATTTTAAAAAGACAGGATCTCACATGTCACAACCGTCCCGTGAGGGTAACAAGCATGCAATTCCACACCAGGTTCTTTTTTACACAGAGTCCTACTGTTCTCCCCTGGTGAGCTTTGAGCTTACGATCCTGCCTAGCCTCCCCAGTGTGCGGGGATCAGAGGTACACACCGCCATGCTGAGGCTCGGGGCTGGACCAGGGATGAGCCGGGCCGCCCACATGGTCCCAGCCTGCAGAGCACCGTGTCGTGGCAGCACACGCCACCTCAGCTGCTGCCCTGCCCTTTCTCACTTATCCGTGCAGTCAGACTGTCGTCACATAACTGTGCCCAGACACCGTTTCCCAGAGACCAGTGTGGAAGCCGACGAGACGCCAGCGTCTTTAGTTAAGGCCGATATCACCGAGGTTTGCAAAAGGCAAAACAGCACCACTCTGCTCAGCACGGATTCGCTGCTGGTTTGGAAAATACACTTCCTTTTCACCCAAACGGTTATTTTATGTTAACATATAACAAGTTTATTATTGATTTTTCAAATAACCAATAAAGAACTATTTCAGGCCAGCCCCATGGTCTACTGGTTAAAGGAACCAGATCCTATGTCGTGAATTGCATAGTTCGAATTCTGGAATGGGCAACTTGAAAAACACACCAGGCTTGTGTGCGCATGCATGCTCAAAATCCCAAAAGGAGCTCCAGCAGGTGATGTAGTGGTTAAGTCACTGGACTCCCATACAGCCAACTGCAGTTCAAGTCCTGCATCTGACAGCTTGAAAATCACACAGGGTAGGTATGTGCTTGTCCAAAATCTCAGCAGGAGAATGGAGGAAAAGGGATTGCAGTGTGGCCTTTCCCCTGGGGAGTGATTTCTCACTTTCCTTCTCACTGTCTCTCTCCAACTAGCACACACGCCCTATGACAAAAATCTTAGTTTAAAAAATCCAAAAAGGAGGAGAGATGGAGGAGAACGGTGGTGGAGTGGCCACGCCCCCATAGGTGCTTCCTCCCTCTTTCTCTGTCTGGCTCTGGTGGGCATACAAAGCCCATGGTGAAGGGAACCAGCAGTTAGCGTAATGGCTATGTCGTTGGACTCCCACATAGTTGACCACGGTTCGCGTCCCGGACCCAGTGGCTTAAAACTCACGCCGGGTGCGTGTGTGTGCGTGCCCAAGATCCCGAGAGGAGAAAGGAGGAGAAGGGATTGTGGCGTGACCATCCCCCCTGGGGGGTGATTTCTTGCTTTCTGTCTCTATGTCTCTGTCTGTCTGGTGAGCGCACGCGCCCTCTAGGGAAAACCCTCTCAAAAAAACAAAAACAAAAACAAAAACAAAGCCCGTGGTGAATACATACATTAACACCTATTTCAAACATGTCTAAGTTTTTGTTTCTAACATGGCAGACATCAATGGCTATAATCTCTATAAACAAAAGCTCTTTGAGGTCATCATAACTTTTAAGAGTGGAAGGAGCCTGAGACCAAAAGCCTGGGAAGTGTATCAGGCAAGCCCAGGACTGGTGAGAATTCAAAGGGAAGATATGGCCGGGAAACAGGGGCCTGGGGTGGTTGTTCTTTATCTGGAATACTGCCACCGCCGACCCCAGGCTGGATCTGGTATAAACAGATGGACAGACGGAAGCCAGAGTCCTCCTAGGCTGGAAGCAGAATGATTAGGGGTAGGGGCTCCAGGCTGGGCCCTGGGCACCTCCACTGCGTCCTAGCTGCGTGCGTGGCTTTGGGAAAGTTGTCTCCTCCTCCAGCTCTTCCCAGAAGCAGGGGCACAGGACTGTGAGCACTCCCTGGGATGAGCGTGTGGCTGATAGTGGGTGTCATTACGCATTTGTTGAGCAACCTCAACAGAGCAGTCCAAACAAAGAGAAGAAAGAGGCAAGAGGACAAGGAGGAGTGCAAAGTGGGGCATGGGGTACCAAGCACCCCAACAGCTGTCCCCAGCAAGGGGGCAGCCCCATCAGGGCCCAAAGCCATTTCCCCTTCAATCTCTGCCCTTCCAGAAGCAGCAGGGTTTCAAGTCCGTGAGGATCTCAGAACCACCGGTAGATAGCAAGGGATTCTCTGGTCCGAGGCCTCTGCGTGTGGGTACTGCCATGTCGACCAGCACCCCCCGTCTGCACCCCTCTATTCACTGAAGCTCCCACCTGCCAGGTGGGGCTCCCAGACTCCTTTCTTCTTCAGGTAGGGATTGTGGGGAGCTCTTCCTTTGCCCTCCAGTCACACCCACCTGCAGGCAAGCCCACCTGATGGGCCTCACCAGAACTCTCTCCTCCCTCTCCTGTTCCATTTCTGTCCACAGAGGAGTAGGCACTGATTTTAATCCTCTTCCATAACCTGGATTAAAGCGACTTTGCATAATATTATTCTGACATTTCTCACACCTTTTCATGAATAATGTATATCAAAACTATAGTCATACTTTAACCACATATCAAAATACATACGTGAGATTTTTTTTTTTTCATTGCCAGAGGACGGGAACGTTCACCAGTGAATAAAGGACAAAGTACCCCCAATGGGCCAGGGTCACGCTGCAATCCCCTCTCCTTCATTTCCTCGTCCTGTAAGGGTTTGAGGCATGTGTTTCAAGCCATCAGGGTTTGAAAACTGCAGGCAGCTCTGTGGGATTCTGCTCCCTCAACCACTATGCTACAGGACCAGCTCACCCACCCTTTTTTGTTTGTTTGTTTTTTTCTTTTTTGTTACAGGGCATGTGTGCTTGTCAGAGAGAGACAGTGAGAAATCACCCCTAAAGGGATAGCCACACTGCAATTCCTTCTCCGTTCTCTTCTCAGGATTTTGGACACACACACACACACACACACACACACACACACACACACACACATACACATATGTGCCTGATGTAATTTTCATGCCGCTGGGTCCAGGACTCAAACCGTACTGCCTACCATGTGGGATCCAGCACCTTAACCACTATGCCACATACTGGTCCAGCCTTATTATTTTTTTAAGAGGTTTTTGCCTTGGAGCATGTGCATTTATTGGAGAGAGAGACACACACAGAGATAGTGAGATGGAAAGTGAGAAATCACTCCCAGGGAGGATAGCTATGCCACAATCCCTTCCTCTCTGTTCTCCTCTCAGGATCTTGGGCACGCATGCACATGCAACAGCATGAGTTTCAAGCCACTGGCCCAGAACTCAAGCCATGGCCGGCCATGTAGGAGTCCACCAACGTAACCGCTATGCCATCTGCTGGCCCCAGCCTTAACTTCTTTTTAAAGTCCACTTAATTTATTTATGGTAGCGAGTGCTTGTGCGCGAAAGGGAGAAAGGCACTGGGGCAGAAGGCAGAGCGGGATGCTTGGCAGGCAGGAACGCAGGTGTCTCTTGTATACGGGGTTTCCGGATATCTAGGGGTCCCTCCCCAGGTTTCTACCCGGTCAGGTGATGCAGTAGCTGCTGGAAGAGCAGGACTCCCTTCTCCGTCCGGTGATATGGCACCTCCATGGGGAATTATGTTTGAAGCCAGGGTTCTGTGCTTAAAAGCATTCGCAAATCAAGTGCCTTTTAGTTCCACATGGTTCTAATCCATTATGGTAAATGTATGCGTGCCTCTGAACCAGCCCAGACACTCTGCTCAATCTCTTCCCCTCTGCTCTCCTCCTCCTTCTAGCTGTTCTCGCTTCCTCCTCTGCACTCCCCCTCCAACAGCAGGGCAGAGGCCCATAGTACATGGTGGCGATGCAAGAGGTGGGGCAGGAGCCCTGGAACCCTGCCCAGTCAGCCCAGCTCCTCCACCCAGCCCCAGCGAGAACAGCTCTCCTCGGCTCACTGAGTTTGCTGGAGCCAGCTGGCACCTGGCCCTGACTCTCTGCTAACTGAGCCCTCTGCCCTGGTCCAGGTCCTGGTCATCCTCATGGACGTGTTCACGGATGTGGAGATCTTCTGTGACATTCTCGAGGCAGCCAACAAGCGCGGGGTGTTTGTCTGTGTGCTCCTGGACCAGGGAGGTGTGAAGCTCTTCCAGGAGATGTGTGACAAACTCCAAATCTCTGACAGTCACTTCAAGGTAGGGGCCCTCGTGAGAGTCTTAAAGGTTATTGTATCAGTCAGATAAAGTAGGCTTTGCCATGTAACAAATGCCCCCAATCTCAGTTGCATAACACAGGAAAGATTTATTTTTCATTCAAACAAAGTCAGACAGAACCTCCTCTATTCTGTGTCTACACCACAGAGAACATGAGGCTGCTAGAAGAGCCGTGAAAGCTGACGAGAGGGCTGGTGGCTTCTGTGGGATGTTTCTGGGACCGGACCTGGAAAAGATTCTCATCGCTTCTGCTCATGACTCATTTACCTCTCCTGCGTGCGTGGGGGCTGGAGCGCGGCAGGGGCCATGGCTACTTGTTGGACAGCATCTCTGCCACATATGCCTCTCTCAGCTGAGATGCCTGAGTGGAACCACCTCACAGGGCAGACAGCGCCAGGGCCTGTTGGGAATGTATTTGGAGCTCTCTGGCCCAAGAGGACACTGGTCCTCCCGGACTTGACTGAACTCCTGTGTCTCTCTCTCCCTCTCTCTCTCTCTCTCTCTCTCTTCTTTTTTTTTTTTTTTTTTTTTTTTGGTTTT